TTGGCTGTCGCTGTCGCCGAGCCCATCCAGATTGAAAAACTTTGCGCCGATAACTTTTCTGAACGGGAGAATCAAAATTACTATTTTACCCCTAACTAATTTGAATCCATAAAAAGCATAGCGGTGAGGAGATTGTCTAAGGTCCAAACTTTCATATTTTTAATATATATATATTTATTTATTATGGTAAAATATAGTTTGGTCCATCTATTTAACAAACGATTACGTTTAGTCCCTAAAATTTAAATTTAATTTCTATTGGGTCCTTGTCTCTAAAATTTGATTTAATTTTTAATTGGTTCCTGAATTGAAGGGACAAGTTTAATTAAGAGATTAATTAGAAATCAWATTCAACTTAGAGAACTCAAGACTAAATTGAAATTAAATTTAAATTTTAGGGACAGGTTTTCAAATTTTGGGACTAAGTTTAAACCTATATATTATTATAGTATTGTTTTCTATTGATTTTAGTTTTAAATTATAAATATAATTTATAATATAAAAAATAATATATTCTTCACTTATAATATATTGTATAATACTAAATAAAATTTGCCTAACGTCCTATATCATCTGAGATATTTCAAAATAGAAAAATTCAGCTACTTAAAATTAAGGAGAATCTACTTCTAAGTACCATTACAATTCCTCATTTTTTTATTTGTAATTTTTATAATTTTTATTTTTATTTCTTTCTCTGGCCTAATATTTAATGTTGATTTATTTTCTTTTAGAATAATCGGAACCTGTTGCAGGAGGTGAAATTGGGGCCAGTGACGCATTGGCCTTTCCATTTGGAAGGGATTGAGCCGTAGCCGTCGTCCTTAAAACTCGGAGCCTCCATCCATATCCCGGAGTCCAGTAATCCGACGATTATGCCGGACTCTGCGGCGGCGTTACGGCGGCTCGCCGTTTCCGACACTCCCAGGAAATCCCATGATCTTGTCGTGTGCAGCTTCCTCCTCCTGCTCGCAAAAACCGATACCACACCCTTTTCCTCTGCATTTTTAGAAATTATAAACATAAACTTTTTTTAATTATTTTTTAAAAGATTAAATATCTCTCCAATTTTAAAAGACGAACTTGCTAGTTTATTAGCTTCATGGGGCAACAGCCTTGCAGCAAATCCATTGAGGCTCCTTCCATAGCTATAAATCTTCACTTTTCTCGCCAATTCTTCACTGAAAAAAAAACCCCATTAAAAAAAATTAAAACTTTACAATATATTTTGTTAATTGGGTAACATAATGAAGGATTAGAATTACTCTCCAACTGCGTTAGCGAGAAGAGTGTGGTGGTGATCTGCCAGAAGTTGATGGGTTTGCTCTTTCGGCACTGCTCCCATATACACAACATAAGCCTGTTTAATTAATTAAATTAAACCCCATTAAAATAATAATAATCAGTCATTTTGACGGCGGCGGAAACCACCGTGGCCGGTGGCGTTGAATCGGCGGGAGGGGGATGTTTACCTGTCTGTCATTTTGGGCTGAAGAGACCACGGCGGCGAAGATGAAAATGAATGGGACCAAAATTTTAAGCATTTTGTCATTCATTTTTTTGAAAAAATTAAATTTGATTTAATTATTTTTCTGATGCAGGGATCATATAAATATTAAATAGAAGAGAGGAAGTGGGGCCCCCTCTTTCTCTCTCTCTCTCTCTCTCTCTCTCTCTCTCTCTCTCTCTCTCTAGGATTTTTAGTTAGGATTCAGAAGAAAGTGGAGAGGGATGAAATTCAAACTTCGATTCTGTTTTTCAGAACTATTTGGATTTAAAGACTTTTCTGTTTCTAAAGTTGTAAGTTTATTGGTAAAAATGGATCAAGTTTGTTGGTAGGAAAAAAAATAAAAAAACACTTTGAATATTTAGCAAAATTTTATAGAGTAATTTTTAGGAGTTGGAGCTATTTGGAAATGGGTATCTGCTTTTTTAGAAAAAAGAAATTGAAATAAAAAAGTTGTTCTTTAAAAATCATGAATTTAAATAAGAGTTATTATTTAGCTGTGAGAAAAAAGGAAATAATGGTTGCAGTGTATGAATAGTAACCTAAATGTCTTAATGCATAAATTTCTCTTGGTAATTTAAAAGTTAATTTGGACTTATTTTTTGTATTCTGTTTTCAAAAGTTTGTATTACTTTGCTTAATTTTTCATTTTTGTAAAAATAAATTTAGAAATTTGACTATGATTTTTGAAATAACCTTAAAAGAATAGAAACATTACCGAACACATTTTTTAAAAAATATTTTTCCTTTTTAGGACATCCTCTTTAACATTATTTCATTTCATTTCAAATCTCAGAGATAATCATAAAGCCATGCATGTAGATTTTCTATATAACATTAAAGATTCATTTCTAAAATATAGTACAAGTCTAGGGGGGGAAGGAAACAATATCCAAAGTTAATTTACATAACTAATATATTTATTGTAAACAAAAGTTGAAAAAACAGATTAAATACCGAGGTAAAAACAAAAGTAGAGTTCCTAAGATGAAACAAATCTAATCATTAGATAATCAAGCCCTGATGGCAGCCTAATCAGAGAAGCTGAGCTTGTGGCCAAACTGTCCACGACGTTCTAAACCCGACAACCCGAGCTCCAAGCTACTTATTCTAGAATATTTGTCAGCTAAAAGATACAGTTTTTTTCACCATGACTTGCTGAGGTTCAATTCCTGGGAATAAAAATGGACATCCGTTTTAAACTGAACCTGAAAATGAAGCAAATTCATCTGTTGGTTCTTGAATTCCTTTTTATCAACTTCCACAAACTATACAGTTAATGATCTTCAGTTATCCCAAGGTCATGGTCTGTTATTATTTTGTCAGCTCCTATAATTTGGCCTCCTCGTGGATGAACGACAGGGTGACTTGATCGCGATGACAATTCTTGTGATTAGAATTTGCTTCCCTCTAAGCAACAGAAACAAACCAGATCTTACCACTGTACAAAGAATTGTGCAAAAGCACGACTCGGTTCGTGAACGGCAGCTCCTTTTAAACAAATTTCACTTCTTCCTCATCAACTTCTTATCGAAGTCAGACAACACAATCTCCTGACAACGTATTATTCCAGCTTCTCCACCATAGCACAACCATCTCTCACTCCCTGTGTTCATGTTCCATCTCACTCTATGCAATGCAACTGATTTTGGAGGGAAAGTTTCAAAATTATCCCCCGAACCAGGCAATTCATCGGTTTTTGTCTGTGCATCATTAGGTTCGTCGCTACATTCCAGTGCTTGGCTATCCACTTCCTTCTTCTTGCACTTTGATTGAGTTTGGTTTTTCTTCTTCATGGACATCAGTGTATCCTCAGATCCAGAATCAACGCTGACATCATTGTCGTGGTAAATGGCTGCAATGGCATCAACAATTTGGTTAAAGTTTCTTAAAAAATTGTCTAGGTATGTCAAGAATCAACATGCTACCTAATGCTTCATTTTCCGATGCAGTTGCTGTGGCCGTCTTGTGATTTCCTTCATTTGACTCAATTGAATCAGATAGAATAGCTCGAAAGGACAGTGGCAGGTCGGATTTGTTGGATGCCTTCTTCAAAGGGAATGGAACACCTGAGGCTGGAGAGTGGATTGTAATAGCCGATTCCTCCTCAGTTAAGTATTCACATATGAAATGTGGGGTTCGATTACGTGAATGATCTTTCTCAACTGCTCTCGTAGTAAGCTGATAGATTAAACGTGGAAGAAAAAGCAAATTATGAAATCATAATTCAAGGCATTATGTACGTAGGAAAATGCTATATTATGAAAGTGCATTTAATGTATGTATCAGTTGTCCTCGAATTTCATTGATAAGCATACAGAAAAAGAAAGCATATAAGAGCTGCGTAGTTCTTCAACTATTTTTCTATTTCGGCCATCAAAAGTAATAGTAACAATATCAAAATTAAATTTTATAGTCTAACAACTTTTTAGCAAAGTTAGAATTAAGAAATTTTAATTGATCAAATAATTTCATGTTCGCTATGACTGTGATGGATATTTGAATCTCATGCTAAAACCCAAACTGAAGATATGCAGACTGATTTTCCATATTTCGGGTAGAAGCCAAAATTTCTGGTTTCTCCAAAGAGTGCCCTCCCTAAATCTTATATATATACACGCACATGCATACAAAAAAACACAGATTATCGAAACTCAAACTAATGGAACCCCAAGTGCAGAAGAGGCAAGCTTCACCTCCCCAGTGAAATCTAGTACATGTTGAACTCACCTGGAAACGGAGAACAGCTCCATCGGCACTGCAATATGCAACCATGCCTGAAATCACCAGTTGCTACGTTTTAATTGTGTATAACTAACAAGAATAAAATAGTTCATTTGATTGGGTTTAAATTTAAAACTAAAACCAAATTAGATCCTAAAACCATCAGAGCAATCACGCAAGGGTTCTACATTATGACAATAAAATTACTGTATGTAAGAACACAGAGTAAAACTATCATTTCTCACCGGAGACTTGTGATACTAAGGTTGTATAGAGAGGACATTATTATTATTTTTTATTGAACTAAGATTTACAATCCTATTTGGTAATATTTTTGTGTTCATTCTCCTTTTGAATTCTGACATCATGATAACTTGTTCTTTATTTCTACACAGCTGAAAATTAAATAAAAAAGGCATGTAACCAAATAAACGAGAACGTGTCCTTAATTGTTTTCAATCACTTGAAGAAAGCCAATCAAAAAGAAAAGAAATGCAAATCTAGTACCACAACCCCTCAAATATGACAATTAATGTAATTTTATTCCAAAATCAATCAAAACATAAATAAACAGGAGAATGATTCCGGTACACAAAACCAATATAGTGCTGAAGGAAATTCAATGTTTCATTGTTTGATGCTATAAATTGGTATACAGTGAACCACTTTGATTCCAGTTAATTCTTCTAACTACCGATAGTTGAATAAATCCTTTAAGCAAGGGAAACACAACCGAAGCTAACAACCCATGAATTTCAGATATACCTGTCTGCCGTGACACTTGAACACTCCAGATAGCAAATGATGAACCATAGTAACTATGTAAGCCTTGTTGTTTTGTCCCTGTGAAGGGTTTACCAGTTACTGGAACGTCGTATGCAGCCTTTAGCAGACTGAGAAGTCTCAATGTTCCATCATCAAAGGATAAAATAACGCATCTAACCAGAATATGGTCATGGTAAATAAAAGAGAATTAGTAAAACAATAACTTGATGTGCCTAATCTGCATCCTATCAAAATAAAACATGTACCTAGGATCAGGAAGCCAATCCAGACTATATATCATCCTGGGTGCTGGATGAATGTCCCACAAAGGACGGAAAGGATCCCTGCAGGAAAGTAGTATATTCTTCAGTTTGTTAAAAATTAACAATCGTCACTAACAGAACCATGGGGGAAAATATACAATAACTCCACAAAGGACCTTGAGCAGTCAATGGTTCTGGTGCCATGGCCTCTGATATAACATTATAATGTTTCAAATCAGATTGACACTGAATTAAAATGAAACAATAAAATGTGGACTGAAAACTACCAAAATTTTAAACTATAACCAAAGAAGAGGACAAAATGAGCACAGAATAAATGAAATAACAAGTTATCGTTCACACCAATTAATCAATTGGGAATTATTGCAGAAATGACTTCTATCTTTTCTACAGGGATCAAGAAGTTACTCCATTGTCGGAGGAATAAAAATTACTAGGAATTTTCCTCGGGTGTGTCTACAGGTTTAAAGAGAGTGGAAAAGGGTGTTAGTTTTGTCATTTTTCATTGGTACATCTTGAAATTACACAAAGATATATTAGGTATGTTGGTCAGTAAGACAAGCATTTCAAATGAAGATTGGATTAGGACATAGAATGTATTGCATCGGGAAGAAATGGTATAAAAAAGTTGCCCCAATTGAATTAATTAACTTTCTTCGACCAAATAATAAATGAAATTAAAATAATAATAATAATAACTCCACCAACCTTAGGTCCCAAAATTTTAAACCTCCATGACTAGCAGTAAGCACCACATTTGCACTTTCTGGATCGCTGAACATAATGAGAAACAAACATATGTTTATTTATAGTTTCCATCTGTAGGAAATAACTGTAATAAAATAAAATTTAGATTGGTCATCTCATAGTAGTTATATTCCTCTTACTAATTTCTTCATCAAAGGTAAGCCTTTCCCCATTATATAGACAAGCAGGCATTAGGTTGGGGGAATTGAGAGTGGCTCAACTAAAAACACTTTTTCTCTTGTGGGGGGTTGGCCCAATATTGCATATGGACATAGATAAATAAACCTTAGAGTTCTCCTACCACAAACCTTTCATTTGGTGCCCATGCAACCCGTCTTATTGGAACTGTATCTGCACTAAAACGAAGTAAAGGCCTCGTATCTGAAGAACAAAATGAGAGAATGATGAGATCACTTATAATTGCACAAGCAAACTCAAAAAACAAAGAAGGAATTAGAAACACAAGTTCGGGCAAGAAAAACAACCTTCACAGGTACTATTTGCAGAAAACTTCCACAAGGCAACCTGAACGGATGAACTATGTTTTACTCATCATAAAATTAAAATTCAAAGCAACAAGAGAGCAGGACCACCAAAAACTGGACCAGGAAATGTAGCAGCAATAAAGTCATATCAGTGACAAACAAAATGAAGAAAACATTAAAAAACTTGTATCCTTGGATAGATAAATATTCAAGAACTTCAATTTTCTCACGTTCCCAGTAACAGTTCATCAAAAGATTAAGTAAGCAGTTCTAGAAATTTCTGAAAACCAAATGAAGAAGTAGTTCTTCCTATATGCAAGAAGAACCGTATATTTAGAATTTCATTTTTTGCTGTGGCAACAAAAAGAATATAAAAAGAAATGGAAGCGGAAATTAAATAATAACTGTTCCATCATTGCATCCAGCAAATAGATAATCATAGGGAGGTGTTGACGACCATTCCACAGTCAGAGGGATGCTGCAGCACAACAATTTAGACAACAAATTAGCAGTAACAAAGAGAGCAAGTGTCAAAATAAAACTCGCGAGAGATAGCTAACATGTTGTGCAATTTAACCAAAATAATGACAATTATAATAACCCAGAATATATTAAAAAAGAAAATCAATGAAGGTTTGCTTCATCACTTCAACTTAATCCAATCAGAATGATACACTTTTTCCGTTATGGAATCAACTACCAAATAGAAGAGGTTGATCTGCGAGTAAAGTGGTAAAAAAAAATGTCCAAATGTCCGAATGTCAACATTGCATGGAACCTAAAATAAATTCCTGGATTCAACAGGAATGAACTGAAAAGTTCATACGTACTAGGTTCATAATACCACACCTTCTAACTACAGGCAAAGACAATAATTTCATTCAAAAGTTTCCAGCTTAAGTTAGTTCGGTGATAGGATCATTTAATCAGAAGAAAAGGGGAGGTTAGTTGTACATGATGAATGGTGTAATGCGCAATTATGCAGAGAGTAAGACTTCAGTAGTGAACCAATTAAGCAGAAAGTAACAACAATCTATAAGGCAGCCCATTCTCATGATTAAAGAAAACTCTTCCATCTAAACACATTGGTTTTTCTTTTTACAAAACTGAATTATGTTGAACTTGAAGAGTTGTCATCATATAAAAAGTAAACGCTGAATACCTCTGTATATTTGCACTTTTCAACATCGTGCTCCTGAAAATAGGCTTCAACTTCACAAAGCGAGGATCTGTACCCTCCCTATTGAATTTAGAATAGATGGCTTTCACTACGTGAGGAAAAGGAATCTCCCAGCTGCAATTAGTTAATAGGATCATCAGATAGATAGCACAATTCCCGATAAAGAACCAATATTGTAAATCATTGGAGGCACATAGTAAACAACATGAGAACCTTGAAACAACTAGGATGATACAAGCATTTTGAGGGCTATAATATATGTGATAAATTATTGATGTGGTACTCACCATGTCGGTATAATGCATTGTGCTGCTCTAATTATACATGAAAAGTAGAATTATGAATTAAAGACTCATATTGATAAAAATAAAGGCTCACTTCGATAAAATAAAAGCTCATATTGTTCATTCACCAGAAAATTTCTACAACTTAATTCAAAAGCAATTTTTCTGTATGCATGCTCAAACAAAATGCTATTCATCCTAGCAAACATGTAATATGAAACATTTGATTGACTAATGTTAGCAATTTCATGAAAGCTGATTCTTTGACTTGATTGGTACAATACCTGTGTCATATTCAAGAAATTTCTGATCGATTTCAAATGGAAACATTAAAAAGATATCCAACATTGCTTAAGCATATTCTTCCAATTCTATAACATATAGATCTTTAGCCAGCATGAAAAGCCCTCAGTAAACCCAAGAGAATGACTAAAAGTTCTGTAAAAGAAGGGACCAAAAAATAGAGAAAAAGTACTAAGCAACACGAGACAGTTAGAGCAGTTTAATTACACTTCTAGAGATCCGTTGCCCAGCAAGACAGCAAGGTAGCCCATTCGGTGCTTGCAGTTGGTAGTACACGCATTAGATGGCTTCCATTTCAAATCCCATGCTACCTTTCCATTATGAGCTAAGCACAACACTACTCTAGGCAAAGCAACACTCTCTGGAATAGAAAATTCAGCATTCTTTGAAATATTATTACATAAAAGAGTATCTTCTCCAGAATATTCACTTATAACATTCTCATTTTCCTGAAAACTGATAGTAGAGGATCCATCTTCTCGATTTACTGTAAATGGTAATGTTCCCATGTCATCAATATGATTCTTAGTCCCAACTTTTCTTCTCACTCTTCTCTTCTGCGCAGGACCTTCATCCTTAGAATTGCATGTAGAAACTGCTTGTAATGTACTCTTCTGTCTTTCAACACTATTTCCCAGTAATAGAAGTTCTTCAGAATTTTTGGGGTCGCCATCAATCTCAAGCAAGTTGGATGAACCAGCCGGGTATTCAACAGAAAGGGACTGAACAATTTGATTATTGTCACCCATGTTATCATTGGATCCCTCTTGTTTCTTTTTAGGTCTTCCTCTAGGCCTCTTTGGTTGAGATGGCAAGTCTGATGCCCCCTTTTTCTTAGTTCCTGGTGGCCTTCCTCTAGGCCTCTTTGGTTGAGATGATAAATCTGATGATACCTCATCTTTTTTAGGCTTCGATTTGCACTTCGTTGCATAGGCCGGCTCTGGTTCATGGTTTTCAGTTCCATGCACTAAGCACCATATCTGCACCATACCTCTTCCTATGAGTGGGGTACCCATCTTGTGATAAGAAGAGCCAGGTGGATGAGCAGAAACAGCAATAAACTGTCATATGAGTTGAGACAAATAATTAAAGAAAATGAATAAGAACTACTGATAAACAGAGAGAAAGTATTAACAAAAAGAAAACCGTGCCTATCTGTGAGTATGAAAATGAAAGCTCATAAGTGAAGTTGAACAAAACAATATTTTACACATAAATTATAATATGTGTCCATAACAGTTTTACTACAAAAAGGACAAATAGAAGAGGAGGGATACCTCACATTTGATAAGGGCATCAGTTTTTTCAAGAACTTGAGGACACCAATCTAAAGCCCAAACAGGCCCACCAACATACATGACAAAGTTTCTGTCAAAAAACACCATTAAAAATGAATGATTGAATGTACATATCAACCGCGTAAGACATAATTACACCAGACACCATTAAAGTAATTTCAGTTAATACACAACTGACAAAGCTAGCCCACTAATGAAACTACTATAACCAACAGTATAAGGAATAAAAAGAATTTGAAAAAAAAAAATCAACGTGGCACCATATGCAACATTGTATACTTTAATCACATAGTCAGAAAGCTCGACTCAAAAATGTCTTGAGGGGAAGATACGTGACAGCAAGAGCGAAATAACAAATTTTCATGGTAAGCAGTCTGTTTTAAAATCCTAAAACTCCTTATACACAGGACATTATGCATCCAATACATCAGGATTCTGGGTTCGGCTTGACAAACGACAACCTTGACACTCATAAATAATTCGCCTATTCCTTATAATTCCTATGATGGTATCGACAAAAACCACAATTTGCCAAAACCGAGTCCAAAATAACATACCTCCAGTCCAGAGATGTAGCGGCTCCAGACGGTGTTCCATTCTGCATATTGAATAAAGACTTGTGTTAATGCTTAAGCTGCATAACAGTAGGAAAAAGAAACCAAGCAGGAATATAGCTAGAAAGAAAAGGCCAACATATTGAACATGACCTCAACCCTGCACCTTTAGAACAGCAGCAGAAGAAAACTGTGGTAAGTTTATCGTGATGTCACCATCCTTACCCTCAGAGCCTCTCAGGTCGCTAGCAAACTTGACGGTCTTCGGTTCATAATTATAGAACCTCCATTCCCTATTTAAGTCCAATGTGAAAACCAAAACTAAGTAGAGTTCGCAGCGGTGACAGATAATGCAGGAAAAGATTTCAAAATACATTCCATTCTAAGCACAAACTACACCATCTTCAGCTGTTTAACAAGCAATTACGGGCAAAGAACTAATCAGTGCACACAATAAATCATACTTGTTTTCGCATACCAAAACATGCAGCCATGAGTACCTTAAGAAAAAGGCGGACGATGAAAACCGCTGAATGTCACTTTCGTCAATTCCGCCATCGCCGTCCTCTGCCTCGCCACAGAGCTCGGCAATTGTATCCATGGCTCTAAAATGATTCTCAGCACAATGATCAAACTCCAAAACCTTAATCCCGACGCCATCTAAGCGACCTGTAGGTTGCTCTTCGTCGGCCGAAGCTCCCCCCGGCTTCTTCTTAGCTCTTCCCGGCGCTTCCTTCTTCTGCCGAGCCACTGGTTGCTTCCTCTTCCCCCTCTTGCCGCCAGTGCTAGTGGATGCTGCCGGTACCGGAGGCTCCACCACTTCCACTGGATGATGATGCTCTTCCATTGCTACTCTTCTGGTTCCTAATGCTCCGTAAATTCCAATTTTTGTTAGCTTGTGGAGATTCGAACCCTAGTCGGCCTTCGAGTTCGATTTTGTTAATGGCTACACCATTACGGAGATTCGAACCCTATTCAGAGAGATTGTACAGCACTGTTATTTTTAATTTGACGAGACTCGTCAGTCCAGTCGTCACATTCAATCATAGCCAAAAGGCACGGAGTTTTTAACAGTGCTTTGGTCGGTGATTTTAAAATACGGATTTAATAATTTTTTTTCCGACGTTATAGATATGTACTATTAAATAATAGATTCTGAAATTTAATTTCAATTTAAAAAATTGTTTGAGATATGTTTAGTAATATGTTTGTAAATTATTAGTAGTTATTAACTGCATATTTAGTTTAATTTAAAAAAATATTAATTAAATTTATTAATATTTATATTTTACAGTATGATAAAATTTATAATATATTATATTTTAAACGTTTTAATTTTAATAAAAAATAAATGAATTTATATTACGGAATAATATATTCTTATCAAAGTTTTATATTTTTTTATAAATTGTTGATATAAATGGCTTGTGAAGTTATCAAATTATAAGAACCATGTTAAAATTTAGAAAAGAAAAAGAAATAACTTATCGTTGGGAAGAAATTTAGTTTGAAGTGTATGTAAATAAAAATAGAGAAGAGGAGAAGTGAGTGAAAATGGGGGAAATCGGATAAATAAACGTTTCCAATTTTGTTTTTTAGTTTCTAGGCATTGGGTGATGTACTCTTTCTTCTCTCCCTCCCCTCTCTTTCTCTCTCCTTCCCTCACGAATTATTGTTAAAGACCCCCTTTGTCTTTAGATTTTTTTTTTTCAATTTAATTACCAAAAATTTGTAAATAAAAAATTTGAAAAGGGATAGATTTGTTAAAAATAAAACGAGCAGGGAGGGAGGGAGTTTCGACGAAAGCGAGAGAGGGAGAGAGGGAGATCGAGAGTTTCAACGAGACAGGGAGAGCGAGATCGAGAATTTATGAGAAGAAGGGGATTCTGACTATGGAAATCGGTGATAAAAGAGAAAAGAAAGGAATTTGGAAAACAAATTAAAATTGCGTAGGATTTTCGAAATAATACTGCGTAAAGAAAGGATTTAAAATTCTAAAGATAAATGGAAAATTGCAGAAATAATTTGTGATAGAAGAAAGAGGGAGAACGGAGGGAAGAAAGAGAACATAAGATAGGGACGAGAGAAAAATGAAAAATGAGATAAAAAGTAGGAGGGTAAATACGTAATTTCACCAAAAATCAAAATTGAAATAACAGTGAAAAAAAGGTAAATTAAAAAATAATTTATTTTAATTTGTATAATAATAGAGACGCTTTTTTCTTTTTTGTTTTGTTTTTTTTAGTGAAAACAGAGACGCTTTAATTGGGAGAGGGTATGAAAATTTTCCCATTTTGGTGCGTCCACATTAAATCGTATCCCACACGTTAATGCCTCGTGGATTGCACGTCACCTCTCTCTTCTTTTCTTTTCATTTTAATATTTTTAGTTTTTACGTGCTTTCTTTTAACGGCTCAACTACTAATAAAAATTTGATAATTTTTTAAATATAACTTTTTTTATATTTATTTATTTAAAAGAAAACTTAATAATAATTAGAAAAATAGATATGGATGGACAAAACCTAAGTATTTATTTTAATTACTATATACTCTACCGCCGAATGTCCATAGAAATTAACCCCCAGCCACAACTAAATATATATTTCCACAGTTCTTCTTATTTAACTGTGTTTATTTTTAAAGAACAAAATCTCTCTCTGTTCCTCTCTATTTATTATCATTTTACTTGTCAAAAATTTGGTTCGTGGTAGTAGACAGATAAACCTAAATCTTGTATCAAGTTGGGTTATTAATCTTTTTCACTTCTGGCTTATGGAGTAAAATTTTCATTTCTTATTTCTATTTCATTTTTTTGGATAAAAAAATTGCATGATCCCATACSGTTAGATTCAAAAATAATAAAATAATATTTTATTATACTACCATGAAAGGATGGCTCATTGAACGTTGAAGAGACTTTTTTAAGGGTATGGTATTTTACGCATCCTCACGTCCAAGGAGTATAAAATTTGACTAAGGACAAAAAAAATTCATATACACTATGAAAGAATAGAATCATATTATATATCGTACACCATTCTTTATTATATCTTATTTTTGTCGAATATTGAAATTCAAAATAATGTTCCTTCTTTTTTTTTTTCTTTTTTTTT